AAGCAAAAAAAATTTCATCATGCATCTGCAGTCAAGATATCAGACATAAATTCACGAGTGAGCATAATTAAATCACAACACCTTGCACATTTTATCTACGCTAGCTATGAAAAGTCTTAACCAACTGTCACTGTCATAATCAATATCAATGGTAAATAGCTCACACCATGAAAGGACATTGTCACCACACTAGAAACAAAACAACAAATCTTTCGTGCCCTTTTATGGTATCACCCACATGATTGCAACATCAATTAATTTGCAAATAGCAGATTGATATGTGGTTTTGAGGTTATGATCAAAGAGTCTCCTTAATATCAGTATTCAATCTCCACAGATGAATTGATTGAATATACCTTGAAAAACTTGACTGTTTTATTGGCTTGTTGCTTGGATTGATTTCTGGCATGGCAACCAAATATAAAGTTTTGTTTATGAAGCTCCAGTGCTCAGTATCTCAGACCAAGTTGACGACGCCGGGCCAGTGATACGCATTTCTAAATCAGGCAGAATCTACGTCTTGTCTTCGCATTGAAGAGATTTGCTGGTAAGTCAATATAAACTCTGTGAGTTGTAGTAATATGGAAAGAAATACTCTCTTCGAATAACAACAGGATCTGTAATTCTAATGTGTATCTAACGTGCTCGCATGCTTGCTTATTCTAGTTAATCCCTTTTTACCCCTGTGTCCAATACATAACATACGTCATTACTACATCACCCCCTTTTTTTTAAAACAAAACAACACAACAGAACAATAGGAATATGAAGATATAGAAACGTAAATGTTACCAAATATTAATAAGAAAGTCCATGTCCATATCGCACTGGTGCTCTTCTTGTTCTATTTGATCTCCTATATTCACATGCTGGTTCAGGTTCATTATTACGCTCCTCTTCGCTACTATAATCCATTTCATTAATGTCCGGAATCTGCTTAAAGTGCGAAACATTTCGTGTAATACGATGTCGTTCTTTGTTTTCTGCAACAACTGTCGTGCCTTTACGAGCAATCACTTTGTATGGAGTAGTATTGAATTTGGGCATTAGTTTCTGCTTCTTCTCTTGTTGTACAAGAACAGTATCTCCAACCTTGATCGAACTTTCTTTGGCATTGCGATGTAAATCTGCATAGGACTTATTGTAGATACAACGCTTCTGCTCATTATCTTTAGCTTCTTTATGCCGATTAACAATAGTGCGAGGTTTTAATGTTGGTAATGCTCCACGAACTGTTCTGTTGAACAATAATTCGGACGGTGGTACCTTGGTCGTACTATGTGGCGTTGTTCTATATTGCAATAGAAACCTGCATAGCTCTTGTTGCTATTTCTTTCCTTCTACAACTGCTGTCGTTAGCGCTTTAGCTAATGGTTGCATGAAGCGTTCGACTTCCGCGTTACCTTGTGGCCATTTTGGAGTAGAGCGAGTAAACTTTACACCCAACAATTTCAAATAACGAGAGAACTCATCTCCATTGAAAGGTGGTCCATTATCAGACGTTAATTCAAACGGTATACCATGGACGGCAAAAATCTTATCCAACTTGGGAATCACTACAGAACTTTTGGTCGAGCGAACAATTTCCACCTCTGGATAGCGGCTATATCTGTCTATGACAACCAGAAGTAGCTCGCCAGATGGAAGTGGACCAAGAAAATCAATGTTAATCTTTTGCCAAGGTGCACTTGGCATTTCCGTCATGTGGAGTGGTTCAGGAGGACTACTTCTCCCGACCGCTTGACAAGGCACACATTTTGTGATAGTCTCCTTGACAAGTACATCAATGCCAGGGAACCAGATCTTTTCACGTAGAAGTGCTTTGGTTTTCTCTAATCCCTGGTGACTTACATGGGCTAAGTCAACTGCTTTCTTGTGCAAAGATTCAGGTATAACTATTCTGGCACCACGTAGTATTATATTTGATGAATCAATAGACAGTTCATCTTTGACAGGTCGAAAAGGTTTAACAGTATCAGCATCCCAACGATTGAGACGAATTGCAGCTCGAAGTGCTTTTAAAACTCTGTCTTTATCTGTCTCTTCGCGAACTTCAGAAAGAGTCATTGACTTCGGAACAGCGTTTTGTACTATAAAATGTACATATTCATCAGCAATCTTGCTTTGTTTTCCAGTGTTAGACATAGAAGGGTGTCGTGATAGAAAATCAGCCTGATTAGTTGGTCCTGGTTTATACTTGACTTGGAAATTGTACGGCTGTAGGCGAAGAACCCATCGCTCAATTCTAGCACATGGTTTTGAGTTTGCCCTCCCATATATCATTTCTAAAGGCTTATGATCCGTTTCCAGTGTAAATGAATGACCATAAAGATATAAATGGAAATGTTCTATGGCCCAAACAATGCTAAGAGCCTCCTTCTCCGTTTGAGAGTACCGATGTTCTACGGCTGATAACGCTCGGCTAGCATATGCAACAACTTTACCTTCTGCATCACATGCGGATCTTTGAGATAGTATTCCCGACAAACCCACTGGACTGGCATCAACTGTTAACACAGTGTCCTTCTTAGCATCAAAATATGCCATAACTGGTGGTTTAGTAATAGCTACTTTCAGCTTGTCGAATGCGGTTTGGTGCTTTTGTTCCCATGTAAATGTGACACCTGTTTTTGTCAATTCACGGAGAGGGGTAGCAATGGTGGCAAAGTTGGCGACATATTTGGAACTGAATGTCACCATGCCTAAGAAACTGCGCAGTTCTGATACATTTTGTGGTATAGCAGCATCAATAACATCCTGTGTTCTGCGAGGGTCAGGTCGTGTACCTTGCTCTGAGAAAATCTGTCCAAAGAACTCTAACTCAGTATTCAGAAAACTGCATTTCGACTTGTTCAAGGTAAGACCTTTCTCTTTAAGGCGTTTAAGGCAATTTTCAAGAGCCTGATCATGCTCTTGACGTGTACTTCCAAAGACTAGGATGTCATCGGCTATATTCTGAACACCAGCCATTCCTTGCAAGTGTTGCTGTAACGTATGTTGAAATAGTTCAGCGCTTGCATTAGTTCCGAAGTTCAAGCGGGTATAACGATATAGTCCGAGATGAGTGCTAAAAGTAGTAATGAAACGACTGTCTGGGTGCAACTCTAATTGATGATAAGCCTGGGACAAATCAAGCTTTGAAAAGAATCTAGCACCATTCAACTCTAAACTGATATCAGCTACTGTTGGAATCAAGTGACGTACACGTTTGATTGCAGTGTTTGCTGCGCGCATGTCTACACATATTCTGACATTGCCATCTTTCTTGGGTACTGCAACTATTGCTGATACCCATGGCGTTGGTTGAGAATCAGGCACCTTTTCAATAATTCCTTGACTTTCAAGCTCTTTTATGGCTACCTTGACCTTTTTCCTAATGTGGAAAGGAATTCTACGTTGTGGCTGAGCAACTGGAGGTACACTTGAGTCAATGTTCAATTTAACCTGGTGATTCTTTAATTTACCAAGGCCTTGAAACACAGAAGAATACTGTTGTAGAATTTTGGCTAGACTGTCGTCCTGGAGATTTTGGCTTTGTACTGCATTTAATTGAAGCTTGATAAGGCCTAATTCCTGTGCAGTCTGAAGTGAGAGTAAACATCCGCTGTCCTTCCCTTTTACCACATAGACTGTTCCCACAGTGTATTTCTTCTTGGTTTCAATAATGCTTTCGAATTTTCCAAGAAACTCAACTGGTATTTTACTCTGATAAGGATATGCCTTCGTGCTTGTGCGCAGGAGCTTAACATTTTTTAGATTTGCAAAAGTGTCAGCATCAATCACATTTATTGTAGCACCACTGTCCACAAGAGCTTTGAATTTGTGACCTGCAACAGTAATCCATACTTGTGGTGTGCGTGGACTGGCTGAAGACATTGCGTACATATATTCATCCTCAGAACTAGAAGAATACTCAGTATGTTTGAGTGGGCGAATTCTTGGTTTGTGCTTTCGATGTGATCTGCTTCCTTTGTTTCTGCGATCTATTTTGTCTCCTTTACTTTTACAAACGACCGCAAAATGACCTTGTTTACCACAGCTTCCGCATTGCTTTCCTTTTGCAGGGCATTCCCCTTTGTGAGGGTAGTCCCCTCCGCAAGTATAGCATTTCTTGCCTTCTTTGTTGACAGATTTAAAAGGATGTACAACAGCAGCAGTATTCTCATTAGATTCAATCTCTCGAGTTTGAAAGGAACTCATTTCTTCACGTCTTCCATCCAGTAACATTTGTTTCAGATCGTAGGTAGGGTCACGTAGTGCCCTTCGACGAATTCGCGAGGAAATACCACCAACAACAATTTGCTGTTCGATTTCGAATTCTAAATCTTGAAATTCACATGCAGTAGAAAGGGCTCGTAAACGTGTATGATATTGATCTAATGTTTCCCCTTGCTCTT